TTGTAGAAGTTTCAGACTCTGAATCCGGTGCTGCTTCTTTCGAAAGCTTGCGTTGTGATGTGATGGCAGATGAGGGGCAGGGTGGCCGATGTGCTTCTCCTTTCCCTTCGTTTCCAGACCTTGTGCAAAGTGGCTGACCGTGAACACTTGGTTTGATGCCGTCAGTGCCTTAGAACTTTCCAACATAGGAAGGTCTTGAACTATCCCTGCATGGATTGCGGTGAAAACCTGCTGATCACCGGGGAGGGGGAGTTTGAGAAACTCAGTGCTCCATGCAACAATGGCAACATGTCAGTTCATGATAAAGTTTGAGTCAGTGAGAGTGTGCATTACCACCATATCAGATTGGTGAATCGGCCACCTGTCTAATAGCAAGAATCTTCCTCTTGCAGTTGGGCAAATCTCAAGGCCACCTGATGGCACTCAAACGCATTGGACAAACTGATCAATTTTGCCAGGTTGCAGTTGTTCACCTTTTTCCTCAAACAATGTTTTAGTCCTGCCCCGTGGTCAACTCAAAGTTTAAGAAAATTTGAAAAGTTTGACTTTGCACAGTTGTCTAATCGTTTTCATTCATGTCTATGTTTTGTCATAGCTGAAAACTGGCTGTTACAGCCACTGCGTTCGGTGAATCATGGCTGCATCAACGCTGGATTTGGAAACAGCTTTCGAGGGGAGAGCTGCTCAGATTGGCATTGAAGATCATTACGTTGAGAAATTTGTGGAAAAGAAGTTTGCGGCGTTTGGCCGCTGTGCTTTTGCGGCTGTCTACTCACCCAATCGTACAGATGAAGTTCCGCCGCGCAGATTCCTCAATGACCTCTTGGTGGAGGACCCAAGTTCAGATCAGCTTGCTTGCATGAGAAGGCTCTTTTTCGAGTCTCATACTATGGCTCTCACTGATGCTCATCAGCGTGCTGAAGCTTCACCAGACCCTTTGTTGGCGACACGTCGACTTGCCACAGCTCAATGTGTGGCAACGCAGAAGGATCAGGAAACAAGGTTAGGTGGCCTGGTATTTACACCAGAAACCACCCCGTCGAATCATTTGGTGGGCCTTTTTGTTGACATGAGGGAATCTGGTGCCCTTGCCTACATCAAGCCAGGGCCGTGTTGCAGCAGAGCCCAAGAGGTGAGCGCAGTTCGAAAAGACACGGCTGGTTCTACAGATGCGACTGGATTGCTGAAATTGGGAACAAAGGCCTCTGGACCCACCTGTGAGGCCAATACGGAGTTGAAGCTTCGCGCGGCATGGCAGCATCACAATCTGGCGATGGACCTGGCTGGCGAGGTCTTGCAGTATCCCATGCCCTTGCCGTCGGGGAAGACGCACGAGGCGACAGCCGACCTGAAAAGGTACAAAAGACTGAGAAGCCCACTAACAAAGGTGGGGCAAATGGACCTGGCAAAACTGGCAACGGCCCCAAACTGCAGTTGCCTGATGGTTGCACCTCTCACGATGATGAGAATCGTCCTTCGTGTGGCAAGTGCAAATTCAAGGGCCCAGCAGGCAAGCGATGTGCGCGTGGCTATCACAAGTGCTACAAGAAGGGGTGCTATCGGCCTAGATTTGCACCCCCACTGACTGACATGAGTGGCATGGATGAAGTTTCACGGGGTTCACCTCCTCTGCTCGTGGAGCTTTTTGCGGGCAGAGGAGCCTTTTTCAATGGCAGCTAGTCAAGCAGCCCTGCATGTCATTGGCATTGGCCACGAAGTGGTACAACCGTTTGCACCAAGTGTGAATTTGGATTTACCAACAAACAGTGGCACCACGATTTTATGGGACTTTTTACAGGCGCCTGGTTTGGGTGCCATACATTTGGGACTGCCTTGCCGAACAAGTAGTGGGGCTGGCGGCTTGCTGGGGTGCCCAAGCCGTCACCGCTGCGGTCTGCTGAGTTGCCATTGGGGTGCCAAACCTGAACCCCAAGCATCTAAAGTAGGTCGACAGTGCAACTTGACTCTACGAGATAGCCATTGACCTCATTGTTTGGCGTGGCAGGGTGGGAATTGTGATCAGCATAGAAGTCCGGCGAACAACTGGCTGTGGGGAGTCCTGGTCAAGCTGGCAAGAGAGCACTCTGAGAAGGCGTCAATGGCTCTCAACAAACTGCAGATACTTCTGTTTCGTGTGCGTTGCCATGGGTTAACACGACGCAAACATACAAGGTAGCTTTCTACAGAACATATCCTTGCAGTACTTCACAAGCCACCTGAGAAAATGACCACCCACGCGAACCTTGGGGATTCCAAGGGCAGTAGGCCTTGGGTGTCTGACGCATCGTCTGAGGCTCATAAGCCTCATTTGCTGGCTCAACAGGCGACTGATTGTTTGGTGCGTTTCTTTCTGGGCCAGAAAGAAAGGCACCAAACAACGGGCGACAATCCAAAAGGCATTGACCTTTGGTACCAGAATATCACCATATTTTTTCAGTTTGTGATTTTCAGCAACCTCCCAGAAATTCTAAACAGCTCCCTCCTCTTTTTCGGGGGGAAGAAGATGCTCGAGGAGGACGCTGAGATCAACACAGAGGGCCTTAGCAAGACAGTGGAGCATGCATGGACCTTTTCCATACTCCTAAGCAGTTTCTTTCCCTGGCAAAGTGTGTGCAACATCCCATGGACTCTACAGATCACTTGGAAAGTGTCACAAAGTTTGCGTTGGATTTCAACTTCCGCTACCCTGCCCATGTGGTGAAACTGGAAAGGGAACCTCTTGCTAGCAAAACTGGTGGCTGCTAAGGGGGCTGACGATGAGAACGAGCTGCATGCTAACCTGCCTGGGCCTTTGCAAAAGACTTAGGAGGGTAAGAAGCTCCCCCTTTGGAAATCGCTGCTTGAACGGTTTGGTTGCGATGACAGGGGGGGTTGTCCCAGTTTGAGGGTGTGCGACTAGTGGTATCCATGACGCGCCGCCTTGCTACCCACCTATGCTGAGCCGGCGACCTTGGTTGCTGATGGCCTGAGGGCGTCATCCAGTTGACGTTGAAAGGCTGTGATTGGCAGTGTGGGCTGGGCTGACCCATCTCATATGGCCATCTCTCTGATGTTTGGGTCTGGCGCTGCAGTTTACAGCTTTAACTGGGTCTCCAGTGGCTCCCTCTTTACTAAGATGCTGGCGATCCCTTGTGGAAGGGTTTCCTATGACGACTTCCCAATGTTTTCACCGAAGTCCTTAGCAGATGACGCAGACTGCTCAGCCTGTCGGCTACCGGATCCGCTTGGCTGGAGGTGTTGGGATGCTCGTTGAACCTCAGCGAGATCGTGCATGACTCGATCGCCTTCGAAAACAAACCTGGCCGCATTGACCGCCTTGTTGTCCTCCGGCGGCAAGTTAGAGCTGATGGGATCCTTAGCAAGCACCAGGGCCATGCGATCCCCGGTATGCCAGAATGGACCTACCACCTTGTGCGAATACTCCGTGGTTGTCATGGTCATTTGAACTTGAACCCCAGACCATGAAATGCGAAGAAGAGAAAAGCCGGCAACTCGAGCGCGTCAGATCCACCATTCGTTTGTACATGTTTGAACTTTTACGATTTCACATCTCGTTTTGCAAGGGTTTGCTGAAGCCGTCTGTTTGCATGCTTGTGAGATTTTTCAGACTGTGTTTCGAGTTGTTGTTTTTGGAAGTTTTATTTTTATGTCTGGGGTCAGCGGGCGTAAAAGCGTAACGCGTATCTAAGGGTTTGGCGCGATATAACTTACGGACTTTGGACTTGGTATAGGAGAATGGAATTTCAGTGTGCTGACAGTACTTTCTCTCTAAGCGTCCAAACAGGACAATGTATGTATATATATATATATGTATATTGTCCGTCCGGTCTGTAAATATCCTTATGCGTCTGTATCCTCTCCCTTAGTATGCGCGTAAGTGTATCGCGGTCTGTTAAACCTGCCCAAACAATCAAAACTCCAAACAACAAAATCTGAACCACTAAAGTTTGAATTAATTTCCTTTGGTTTGAGCCCAATGTGAATCTTCAAACCGAAGATGTACTGTACAGTGTGAACTTCAGATGACAGACAATTTAAATCTGTAAATTTGGTCAATGTCTCATTTTATATCTGTGTGGCCATTCATGCTTAAGGGATGGGTAGGGAGGGTCGTTCAAATTCTTGCCATGGACAATTTCAGTCCCAACCTAAACTATCCACCCGAAATTTTCCATGGGGTAGAAGGTGACAGTCCAGCTGAAAATCATTCCAACTCTCTTTCCTGAATGTGTGAGCCGAATCGATGCCAGAATGGACCTACCACCTTGTGCGAATACTCCGTGGTTGTCATGGTCATTTGAACTTGAACCCCAGACCATGAAATGCGAAGAAGAGAAAAGCCGGCAACTCGAGCGCGTCAGATCCATCATTCGTTTGTACATGTTTGAACTTTTACGATTTCACATCTCGTTTTGCAAGGGTTTGCTGAAGCCGTCTGTTTGCATGCTTTTGAGATTTTTCAGACTGTGTTTCGAGTTGTTGTTTTCGGAAGTTTTATTTTTATGTCTGGGGTCAGCGGGCGTAAAAGCGTAACGCGTATCTAAGGGTTTGGCGCGATATAACTTACGGACTTTGGACTTGGTATAGGAGAAGGCAACGTTGACTGTTTGGGATCTATAGGGTGCAAATGGGCGAATCTTGACTATCCATCATTGGGGAGTCAGCAAAATGGAGGTTGGCTGAATCCCCCACGGGGATTTGGCCTGAACATGGGATTATATACTGTTGTAACCAATTCACTAGTAAGGGGTTGTATCAAGTTTAGCAGTAATTTATCGTTATTTTGGGCCCACTTGATAGTCAGGGTTTATCTTATCAATCCACGTTCATAGTGTGAAGATGGGAGATGGTAGAATTGACCCCGAAGTTATGGCAATTTTCTGAGAGATCAATGGATTGAAAACTACGTAGGTTTGAATCCATGCTATAGAATGGGGCACCCTGTTTTCAGACAAACCCATTGTGGCCCTTCAGCAGCTGTCGCAAATTCCTGAAAATAGGCCATGGAAGAGTATGCGACTATCACGGGTGACTGGGAGGGAGTGGAAATCGTGACCAATGAGAATGGCAAGAGCGTAAGGAGGGGCACATGTTGGGATGATTACTTCTGGTATGCACCTGCCTGCCGAGATGCTTGTCAGATTGGGCTGCAGGTTTTTGGCCCGGAGATGCCAAATTAAGATTGGACATCTGAGGGCCCAACAATAGGGGTGTAAGAAGCTCCTCTTAGAGATTGATGGAGGTGAGGAACTCTTCCAAAAATGGCGAAATCTTTGGTGTGAGATGTTGAAGTAGGCCTTCCTTTGGATCAAATTTGGACCTCAGGACAAGCCTTCCAAGTGTGTGCCGTTCTTCACCGCTGGAAACGGTTGGAACTTGGAGGAAACCATGCAGAAGGCCACCGCTTGGAACATGCCCCTGGCACCGGCGGTGGCAAAGACTTGGGGCAACTTCACGCAGCTCCCACTGCAGATCGATAGCACCTTCTACTGGTGGGTACTTCGGCAGCAACTTCAAAGATTCAATCTTTCCAGCCCAACACTCAAGAATCCCCAGCGTATGTTCCTCGATAGAATCAGCCAATCCGTGTTGACCCGTAAATTCACGAACCGTGATTTATCATTCTATTTTTGGATATCGACGGAAAAGCACGGTTTTAGCTACATCTCCAACCCAGAGTCCTGGCTCATTGATTCTTCAGCGACTGCATTTTCTATGGACAGACTTGGTTGTGGGCGCTGTGTGTCAGGTTAATGCCTGCATGCAAGCATGAATTCTCTAGCAATCAAACATGGCAATGGAATATCCTCCATGTGTGGATTTTTCCCCCATGAGTTTTCCCGGCAAGAGACCCCAAACAGTGTTGCAAGGAACGTGACGAAGAGATTCTGCAAGTCCCCTTTGTGAATATCTCTGTAGAAGATCGTGCGCAAGATCTCCTTGACTGGTTCTCTGTAAAAGCCGCGGTTGCACGAAGGGGAAGTGAGCCTGACAAGAAGCTACAGTCCGTCGACTGAGGGAAGCTGCCACTTATATATGTAGTTGACGGGAGAGACAGCCTGGAAAAAGGGGCCATGCGACGCACACCAGAGGAGGATTGGAACGAGCCGGGTTTGAGGCGAGATCGTGGCCGTTGGAATCGAGAGAGTGATTGCCAGCCTTCCCCCTGAAGGTGTTGGGGCCGCAGTGAACATCTTGGACGTTTGCGAGGATGAGGTACGAATGCTCCTGAGCCACCCGGAACGCTGCGTGTTGGTAGAGGGGGGGGGAACTTCCCGAAGTGATACCCGAGCCAAGGTTCAGGTGAAGTCGGGAGGATGGGGTGGGTGCCTTGGACCGCTGTCTGTTTGAGAGGGGCATCCTGGCTCCGGTGGTCACCATACATGTGTGGATGGCAAGGAGATCAAAAACAGCCTGTTTGGAGTTGAAAAAAGCAGACGGACATTGCCTGATGGCACAGGGGCTCAACGCCTTATAGTGGACCTACGTGCCAGCAACGCTGTGCTTCGGGTCATTGCTGGCAACATTGTGTGGGGCGTCCGCTGGTTTCAGGAGATGACTTGTGTTCATCATTCTACTTGTTCAAGATGCTGGAGAGTTGGTTTTCCTATAGACCTTTGAGAAGGCAGTGGCTTGGAGAGAGGGCACCACTGAAGGCCGCCCTACAACCTGATCCGCGCCTTGTGGAAAGACGCGCGATTTCTTGTCAGGAACGGGTGGTTTGCTCTGGTCCTTGGAGCGTGCCGGACTTTTCACGAAACAGTGATTTTTCACTCGAACCCCCCCAAACTCCCAACACCCACCGAAATCCTATCGTATTTCCACGCTCATATGAAAATTAACTTTCGTTCACCACCCCTTGGGCCTCACATCTGGGACCACCATCTTGTTATTGAAAGTGATGGGGCTTGCCGCAGGTGCATCAGGCGGACATGGGGCGGCGGTGCCTGAGAGATGTTTGAAAAGGTGGAAGGTTTGAAGATCATTGTTGCTGGCGGTGGTAGCTGGTGTCAGAGGTAGTCGATGCTCCAGTCAAAGGCAGCACCTAGATGACCCTCGTTCAAACTTGTTCTTTGCCATGGCAGACCTACTTGATGAGCTGCAAAAAAATTGAAAAGAAGGACAGCTCAGGTTTGTGGGTTTCATGGAAAACGTGGAGGATGAGCATTACAGAGATGAGATTACCGAGGCCTCGGTGGTACTGGCTGTCCCGGGAGCTACCGAGCTCTCCTTGGATGGAGGTCGTTCGGTTTGAGCTGGCGAATCGTCACAGAATGGGGGAGTTGGAGCCGGATGGTGTATGTGGTTCCCCAGCTTTACAAGGAGGCGTTCTCTGCCCAGCCCTGCGGGGCTGTCTCACACGACGGAGGAGGCAATCTCGGTGGAAGCATGATTCCTACAGTACCTTCCTTACGTGCATGAAGTAAAGTTTTTACTGCGGTGAGGCGCAAGCCCGTACATGGGCTTTCGCAAAGGGCATACGCTCAAACTGGACAGGGAGCACTGCAAGAAGAGGTCGCTTCAGCAAGCCGAAGACGTACGGGCGCAATAGGAAACTTGTTTCGCGCAACAACAGTGGCTGCCATTTTGGCGATCATACTTTATGGAGAAGGCATTTTGCCGGAAGCCAGAAGCCTTGCTTTGTTGACTCAACTTTTGGTGGCCCACCACTTGAAGGAAGACCCTTCTGCATGACAGAGAGCATCGCACCGGCCAACGTTTCACTAGAGGCTCAGGAAAAGGAAGAAGCATTGCTCTTGGTGGAGCAACCGGATATGGACGAAGGAGCGCAGCATAGGCTGCTCAGTCGCCTGGTGCACACTTTGGCTCCGACATGATCTTTCGTCCAGGGGCTTGCCTTCCGAGCTGAATTTACCCTTCAAAATCAGAATGGAAGTTAGGGCGAAAAGCGGCTCACATTATAGAACGTTTTGGAGCTCAAGGCGCTCTTACATGCTTCCAGGAAAAGCTCGTTTTATTCTTTTCAGACCGTGATTCTTGTTTACAATCAGGCCGTTGTGGCTGTAGTGGCTAGGGGTGCTCCTCAGCCTGAGTCATAAACCACTTCCTCCGTCGGCTGTGCGCTCTTTGTTGTGCGGTGAACATAATCCGGCAGATGGAGCGTCACGTATATTTCATATATTTCATCGACGCGATCAGTAAACAACAACGAGCTCAAAAGCAACAGGGATTGGGGAGGCTGTGCGATGGACGGGTCAATCAAAACACCCTGAGAAGTATCTTGCCGCTTTCGATTAATTCTTATTTCTGGCAATCGCACATGGATGATATATCACACCATTGACCATGGCATCGGTGCAGCAACTGTTCGGGGCTTCAAACTTCTAAAGTCACGGCTTTGAAAAGCAGTGCTGGCCTCAAAACAGTCCATGCTGCTTCAGTCTTATTGACAGGAATCGCTTGGCTGCCCTGGTTCAGGTTCTTTTTTTTTCACAAAGGGACCGGTTCCTGGGACACAATAGCCCCACCCTCTTTTAGAAGATGCTCGCGCGCGCTTATATGGGCCCGCAGATGGTTGCGCCATGTTGGGGCGCATGGAAGGGAGGAGGGAGTGAGCCTTGGATGTGACATCTTATAGTATTGGACCGCAGTGTATATATATAATATTTACATATGCATCCACGCATATATATATATATAGATAGATAGATAGATACAGATCTAGATATAGATGTAGATATAAAAAGACAGATAGATAGATAGATAGATAGAAAGATAGCTAGCTAGCTATAGCCATATACATATACATATACACATACAATCACATACATATACATATTCATTTGCATATACATTTACATATGTGTAAGTCTACTGTAAATATCACATGTACGCATGTCATTTTGTTACAGCGGCGAGGTCCCAGATCCCACCTTCCTCTCGTTGGATGCGGTGGAGATCACCTTTCCACCCTTCGATCGCACCGCCTTTCGACGGGGAGATATGCGCACCGCACCTACTGCTCTATCGATAGACAAGTACGTGAGCCAGGACGTAGCGGTGTGTCACTGTTAGTAGTTTCTATCATTGATAGGGAAAGAAACATGCAATTTTTAATCATGTGCGCCAGGACTTGGCCCGAAAGAAACCAGGAGACACACAAAAAGGCTAAGTCCAAAAGAAGAACATGTTAAACAATAAGGCTGTGATGATGATGATGGTGATGATGGTGGTTATGATGATGTTGATTTTGAAGACAAAAACTCTTACGCAGAGAAAGCGTTTACGCATATTTAGGCGCAGATGCTTTTACACACAAGCCCTGTTACACACACACACAGGCGCTTCGAAACATAATTTTGATACAGGCGCCTGCATTTACACAGAGGCTTTCACACACAGAAGCTCTTACACACAGCAACAACATACACACACTCACGGATGCCTTTTGCAGACAGACAGCTTTTCCCTACGTGCAGATGCTTGTACACAGGTACTTTCACATACACACACAGGCTCGTTTACACGCAGAAGCTTTTACACACCGGCTCTTTCACACACAGGCACTTTTACACACAGAAGCTTCTACACACACACACACACACGCAAACACACACACACACACTATGATTGTTGCCGCGGACGCTTTTACACACGGAAGCTCGGACACACACACACACACCAAAAAAAAAATACACCCAGAAAACCTTTCATGCAGAAGCTTTTACATGCAGATGCTTTTGCACACAGAAAGCTTTTGCACGCAAACCCATTTACACGAAGGTGCCTTTACGCACAGATGTTTTTACGCAGAATGCTCTTGCACACAGATGGGGTCACACACTTTTACGCACAGATGCTTGGAGACACAGGCGCCTTTACACATAGAAGCTCTGCACACAGACAGGTTTACACAGAGAACGCCTTTACACACACTGCTGATCGAGTAAGCAGTTTACTCCGTGAATTGGAACGTTAAAATGATGAGGTTGTGGTCGCCTTTTGAAGTTCCTAATTTAAGACGATTGATCCTGACAACGGGAAAGGTGTCTCGAAATCATTCAATCACAGCACAACCATGAACAGAAACCAAAATTAACAGTTCAACTAGTTGACTGCAGGTACACCAGGGTGATTAGCCCTGGCTTCCGCCATCATGCATAGCTTCGTTGGCATGCGTTTGCATGATGGCCGCGTGCATGCTGCTTAGATAAATCCAAAGTCATAATTCTTAACCGCATGATAGCTAGCGGTTTGCACACACTTGCTCAGAACAATCTTTGCGAATTCTGATGTGGAATGCATCTTACGTGCAAAAACACTCCAATTAAACCTGACAGGAAAGGGTTGATGACCAGATCCGAGAAGGATCGAGAAGAATGTATTTCAAGGCCACTGCTAGATGCAACATTTCCATCTGAACCAAATCGTTACCCCCTAGACAGATTGCGACAACAGTGCAGCGAAAATGTAAAATGTAAAATCGACATGGAGGTTCTTGTGTTGAGCCTCTTCCCACCACAGAAAAAGAATGGCAGATACGTCACTGGACGTCTCCAGTGATATCAGTGTCTCATGCAAGCCTCTTCGTTGGGCTGGTACTTGCATGGACAACCAGCCCCCCTGCTAAATTAGAAGTTTTACATCTATTCAGATGGTTCACACACACACACACACCCTCCCGCGGGAGGGTGGAAAATTAAGGGCCGGACAATGAAATGAAAATGAAAAAGAAGGGAAATGAAGATGAGGTGAAGATGAAAATGAGATGAAAGTTACTTAACCAGGACGCGAAGAGGGGAACGCAAAAGAAGAGGGAAGGAGCAAACACCAACACAAGAAACCTGGCCCAAAGCGGGCAAAACCTGAAAGGGCAAGGGAAAAGAAAAGCGGAGGCCGACAGACACGGAACAAGACCAGCGGAGGGGGGGGGAAGACGGAAGCGCCTGAACCAACCTAACACAGCGAAAACCTACGCCTACCTCGGCACGCGAAGGACCCAACCTACCTGTAGAGGGGAGAACACATGAAATAGGGGACCCATGGGGACTAGTTAGAGACAAGATGCAACCACATGACATGCAAATTCCCCTATTCAGGCTCAATGGCCTCCTGGTCGAGTCAACCCCATAAACGGCTGTCAGTAGTCAGAATGAATTACGTGCACATTTGAACCTCACCAGAAACCATCAAGAGAAAGAAAACCACACCTAAAGTCGTGGGCCTGCCTGGTCGACATTTCATGAAGTGAATGCTGATGCAAATCAGTCAGTCTCTCGAGCAATGAAGAGAAAGGAAAATTGTTGGCGCGGCTTCAGGCTATGCAATGACCCTCAATCCAACAAATGGTGAGTCCCAAGTACAGCGGGCAGCTGTTCAAACCGACGACAATCGACAAGGTGAGAACTGAAAAAAGCCAGCTGTTGAACTTTACTTAAACGAATTACTAGCTTAAAATGTGTGAATTCAGAGATCAAATCGTTGCTTCACTCTCCTGCTTAGACAAGCATCCCCCGAGGGGTTCATGCCACCGTGACGAATCCAGCATGAGTCACACACTTGCTCAGAACAATCTTTGCGAATTCTGATGTGGAATGCATCTTACGTGCAAAAACACTCCAATTAAACCTGACAGGAAAGGGTTGATGACCAGATCCGAGAAGGATCGAGAAGAATGTATTTCAAGGCCACTGCTAGATGCAACATTTCCATCTGAACCAAATCGTTACCCCCTAGACAGATTGCGACAACAGTGCAGCGAAAATGTAAAATGTAAAATCGACATGGAGGTTCTTGTGTTGAGCCTCTTCCCATCACAGAAAAAGAATGGCAGGTACGTCGCTATCAGTGTCTCATGCAAGCCTCTTCGTTGGGCTGGTACTTGCATGGACAACCAGCCCCCCTGCTAAATTAGAAGTTTTACATCTATTCAGATGGTTCACACACACAAAGGCCGTTTAAGTAAGGGCAACAAGACAGCTTGAAGCTGCTTTTTTGTACCGCATCAAGTCTGGAGATGAAAAATCTCAACGGGATCAACGTGTGGATGATGCGATCGAACCAACTTTGTGACTTGGGCTTTTCACACACACACACATATGCAGGGGTGGGGGGGAAGGAGGGAGGGAACAAGGACAGCCAGAACAAACAAGGGGAAAACGAGAGAAAACAACAAAGCAAAACAAAGGAAAGGAAGGGGGGAAGGTCGGGGAAGGAAGCGCGCAGGAACCCAACCCTGGCACGCAGAAGAGCAATCAGCGCAACGCAAAGCAGGCAACAAAGAAAAACACAGCAGGGAGACAACTGAAGCAGGGCAGGGGAAAGCGGGGGTGGGGAGGGAAGAGGGGGGAGAAAGAGGAGGAGAGAGAAGGATGGGAAGGAGAACGGAGGGTGGTGTCCCAAGCTATGCGTGAGGCATCCATGAGCCCACCGGGGGGAAAGAGGGAAGGTGCACCCAGCTATACTGAAGTATCCAGACCAAAGGTCGGGGGGTGCAATTATCAGTTTTGAAGTGCTGCGTTTCTTTGTATATTGCAAGCCATGCGGCCTGCTGCTGTCTTGTGACTTGTCCCAGTCATGTGACGTATTTCAAGTACCACAAACTCGTATGCTACAGCTTTAAGATGCTTTAAGCCGATTCCCATGGGTACTAAGTGCCGTCAAAATTCCGAGGTATTGCAGTACCACGCAGGAAGGCCGGCTCCAGTTCAATGTGCGTCACAGATCGTACAGACAGCACTCGCAAGTCAGTGAGGCCGTGCCCGTTCACACTGCTGATTGAGTAAGCAGTTTTTGCTCTGTAAGTGGAACGTTATAGTGATGAGGTTGTGGTCGCCTTTTGAAGTTCCCAATTGAAGACAATTGATCCGGACAACGGGAATCTCGAAATGATTCGAACACAACACACTAATTAGTGAGTTGACTGCAGGTACACCAGGGTGATCAGCCCTGGCTTCCACCATCATGCATAGCTTCGTCGGCGTGCGTTTGCATGATTGCCGCATGCCCCCCAGCTTCGATAAAGTCAAAGTCATAATTCTTAACCGCATGATAGCTAGCGGTTTGCACACACACACACATGCTTATGCACACATATGTTTTTCCCCGCAGGCGCTTTTGGTCACGTGCTGTGAGACACAGCTGCCTTTACACACAGATGCTTCCACACAGGCGCTTTTACCCACAGGAGCTTGCGCACACAGATGGTTGTACATACAGAAACTTGTACATAGCAAACTTTTACACAGAGACAACTCTACACGCAGGATTTTTTTGGTGACACGTATTTCTACAACCGAGTAGGTGTTGAGATTTTTGTTGTCACCGCACATGGATAGGATAGGTGTGGGGGGGTGGGGTGGGGTGAGGTGGGCTAATAACGTCCATGTACGCTTGCGTAACGTTCTTGCACGCTTGCGGAACTACGTCATGCTACGTTGATGTAACGTTCTTGCACGCTTGCACATCTATACGCAGTGCTATGTTGATGTAACGTTCTTGCACGGTGCTACGTTGATGTAACGTTCTTGCGCGCTTGCGAAACTACGTTGGGTGGGGGGGTCGCCAGAGAACACCGCAAGCAACAGTTGGTTGTGAAGTCGGTGGTCCACATGCGTAGTGAATGGACTCGGAAGGTGTGAGTGCGAGGAAAGACGAAAGTTGCAGGAACCCAACAGATTGATAGTTGCTGGAACCACCTTTAAAAAATTGCCCCAGTCAGATGAAGAACCGCACTGGCCCAACCATCAATGGTAGATTCTGGGATAGAATCTATCAGTGGATCTATCGCCACAACATGTCTAAGTGAGACATGACGACCACATGCGAGATGAAAAGAAATGCTCTTGAAACTTATCGTCGTCTGATGTAGAAATTGGTCATTGCAAAAATGACAAAACGTGAGGAGGCGTTTTGGCACATGGATGTCAAAAACACACGGTTGTGTAAATCCGTGTTACCTTTTTTTTCCGCACAGTGCTTTGACGCACAGGTGTTTTTACATGCAGGAGCTTTGAAGCACAGGTGCTTTTACGCACAGGAGCTTTGACGCACAGGCGCCTCTACACGCAGGTCCTTTACAAACAGAAACGCCTGCAAACAAAAACTTCTACACACAAAAGGTTTTATAGAGAAAACTTTTGACACACACACACACCCACAAACAGGTTTTACAGATGCTTTTACACAAGTTCTTCTTCGCACAGATGCATTTACACGCATTTTTTTACGCACAGTTGCGGCTCAGTTGCTTTTACATGCAGAAATTTTGACACACACACAGAAATTTGACAGACAGGTGCTTTTAGATGCAGAGGGTTTATACACAGAGGCTTTAACACACAGCAGCCTTTACACAAAATGTTTTTGCGCACAAAATTGTTTAAACACGCGCGCACGCACACACACGCACACACACGCACACAGATGCTTTGACACACAGGTGCCTTTACACAGATGCCGAAACACACAAACACACATGGAATGCTTTTACACCTTCAGACTCATATGCGCACAGGTTCCTGCACACAAACACTTATACACGCAGAGGTTCTACACAGACGTTCTTGTACACAGATGCTTTTACACAGACGCTTTTACACGCAGTTGCTTTTACACACACACAGTTGCCTCTGCACACAAATGCTTGACACACAGAATGTTCTACATACACCCTTTACACGCAGAAATGCTTTACAACTTTACACACACAAACAAACTTTTACACAGAGTTAATTTATGTTAATTTTACACACAGAAACTTTTGCGCACAGATTCTCTTACACACAGATGCTTTTGCACAGAGATGCCTTTTCACACGGAAAACTCTACCTACAGAAGGCTTTTTTTTACACAGAAGCGTTCACACAGATTTTAACACAGATGCTTCTACACACAGACAGCTTTGACACACACACACACACAAAAGGCGCTTTTACACACAGGCGCTTAACACGCAGGTTCTATTACGCACAGGGGCTTTGACGCACAGGTGCCTTTACACACAGGTCGCTTTACAAAAAGAACCTTTCACAAACAAAAAATCACACACACACAGAAGTGTAAACTTTTGGACGCAAACACTTTTTCGCGCAGGTGCTTTTACACGCAGAAGTCTTGATGCACAGGTGCCTTTAAACACATGTGCCTTTACACACAGGTGATCTGACACACAGGTGCCTTTACACACAAAAACTTTTTCACACACGCAGAATTTTTAAGACGGAAAGCTATTTTATTCACAGGGGGGATGACGCACAAGTGCTTTTACACAGAGATTTTCCCCAATAGCAATAGCTTGGGGTTGTTAACTCTAAAGGCGGATGGGCGCCGTCGGGTGCCCGGCTGCCGGCCTGGGCGGTGTCTCGGTGGTGTCTCGGTGGTGTCTTGGTGGTGTCTCGGTGGGGTCCCGGTGGTTGTCTCGGTGGCATCTCGGTGGTGTCTCGGTGGTGTCTCGGTGGTGTCTCGGTGGTGTCTCGTTGGTGTCTCGTTGGTGTCTCGTTGGTGTCTCGGTGGTGTCTCGGTGGTGTCTCGGTGGTGTCTCGGTGGTGTCTCGGTGGTGTTTCGGTGGCATGTCGGTGGTGTCTCGGTACGTGTCTTGGTGGAGGTCTCTGTGTCTCTGTTTCGGTGGGGTCTCGGTGGTGTCTTGGTGGTGTCTTGGTGGTGTCTCGTTGGTGAGTCTCGGTGGTGTCTCGGTGTTGTCTTGAAACTTGGTGGTTTCTCGGTGGTGCGTCGATGATTTCTCGGTGGTGTCTTGGTGGTGTTTCAGCAGGTTGCAATCTGATGCAAGGTGCTCACGGTGTCTTGGTTGTTTCTTGGTGGCGTCGTGTTGGTGGTGTCGGCGCGGTTGTGTTGGTGGTCCGTGGGTTGTGCCATGCATCAGGTAGTCTTCAACGGTTGCATGCTGTTGTCATGCTGACCATCACAATTGCTGAAGATGACGATGATAATGAGGAGGAGGATGATGTTGACAATGATGATCATGACGCTGCTGCTGATGATGATGTTGCTGCTGCTGCTGATGATGATGATGAGGATGACAATGATGATGACGACGATGATGATTGGGATGGTGATGATGATGATGATGATGAGGAGGAGGGTGATGATGATTATAGATATCCACATCGATATCAAGATCGGTATCTATATCGATATCGATGACCATGACGGTGATGATGACGAGGACGAAATCGATATCTATATCGATGTCGATGACGATGATGAGGAAGACGACGATGACAATGTGACGACGACCTTGCGTTCGCAGGTATGGGTTGAAGTGGGGGGAGGGACGGATGTTGACGTATGTTAGCAAGCAACATACTGACTATGATGCTTCTACCGAAGCAACTGCAAACATTCCCTCATTCCATGCAGCAACCAGGTCAGTGGGCTGCTCACCTCACCAGAGGAGTTGACATACTTGTTGCATGCTACACTTGCACCGAGGCCCTAGCGGAAATTTATCAAATTAGAATAGAAAACCAACAGAAAAGGAAAGAAGGACATAATCCCGACAGGAGGAAGGGAAAGAAGGGGGGAGGGAGGGAGGGAAGGAAGGAAGGGAAGGGAAGGGAAGGGAAGGGAAGGGAAGGAAGGAAGGAAGGAAGGAAGGGAGGACGGCAGGAAGAGAGAAACAAAGGCCGAGTTGCAAAATGTTGTGTGCACTTTCCCATTTACACATGTTACTTTCAAAGAGTTGCAGGTCCCAAGCAATTTGCAAACGTTGGTTTCAAAATGTGGCAAAGACCGTGCAGTTTACTGATTTTAGCCGCAACACGCTGCAAACACCATGCCATTATCTGCAATCTGCAAATGATAATTTCAAGATATTGCGAATGCCAATCACTTATAGGTTTGAGCTTCAGAAAGTCGTAAAAATAGCATCCAATTTACCGACGTCAATTTCAAAATGCTGCGCGTGCCAAGCGGTTTACCAGTGATAGTTGCAAATACTGCAAAGACTACGCGGTGCACTAAATTTTGCGCCAGTATGTTGCACATTCTGTGCAAGTGATGATTTTTGGTTTCTAAACAGTGTGCAGATTTTTTGTTTCACAGCGCTGTGAACATCAAAGCACAGTTTTCAGATATGATTCCAAATCTTGCAAATATCATGCAATTTGCTGATGTTAGCTTGCACTGCTGCAAGATATTGTCCGATGGCAATGCTCCGTGCAATGAACTGATGTTGCATCATACCATGCAATGTACAGGTGCTAGCTGCAAAATGCTGCAAATACCCAGCAATTTTGCGGCAAACATTGCGCAGCCTAGAGATTCCAAAAGCAAACGAGCAAAAGATTGTACGCAGATACTTTCACACAGAGGCGCTTGCATAAAGACATGTTTTTACACAATTGCACATACACATGCTTTTACCCGGGGGTGGTTTTACACACAAATACCTTCAGGCACAGGTGTTGTTACATAGGGATGTTTTTGCGCAAAAAACTTTTGCACGCAGACGCGTGGGTACTTGTACACACAGGTGCCTTTGCACAGCGATGCTTTTACAGAGGAATGCTTTTACACGCACGTGCTTTTACACAGGGTTTCTTTTAGCACAAATTAATTTTTACACACAGAAGAATTTACAGTAAATACTCTTACGCAGAGATGCTTTCACATAGACACACATTTGTACAAAGGTTTTTTCTTTACACACAGATACTTTTACAAAAAGGATTTTTGCACGGATACTTTTACGGAGGGAGGTTTTTACACACAAGTGCTTTTAAAGACCAGGACGCATCTAGGAAAGAGGTACTCTTACATGGGTGAGGCTGGAAACACGATTTGGGGGAGGGTTCAAACCATTTGGGAATCAGGTTTCCATCCGTTATGTTTTTACAGAGAGGTGCGTTTACATACAAGTGCATCTACACAGGGAGTGGTCTTCACACAGAGATGGTTTGACGCAGAGAGATGATTTTACAAAGGGATGCTTCTACTTACAGGTGCTCTTACACAGAGATACTTTCAACACAGAGATGCTTGTACACACGGGTGCTTTAAGATACAAATACTTTTGCAGAGAGATGGTTTTGCTAAGAGAAATTTTTAGACGCAGGCGGGTTTTCACACAGGTGCCTTTACACAGAGATTCTTTTACACAAATGTGTTTACATGCTAATACATCTACAGTACACACACTGCTTTACGCACGCATTCTTTTACACAGAGATTCCTTTACACGCACGCATTTTTCACAGAGACACTTTGACACACAGTAGCAGGCACGTTTGCATGTTTTGATGATGGTGGATGTCTGTACTGACGGTGTTGTGATGATGATGATGATGATGATGGTGATGGGAAATGATTCTGGCAAATTTTGCTGGCAGCAACTTCTTGGGAAAAACCCTTTGCAGGCCCTTTAGGGCATTGGTGGTGTCTGTCTTGACGGTTGATGGTGTCTGTCCTCTTGCTGCTGTCTCGGTGGTCTCTCAATTGTGTTTCGCGTCTTGGTGGCGCTTTGGCGGTGTGTCCGTAAGTCTTGAAGGTGTTCGGTGATGTTTTGGGTCTCGTTCATGTTTTCATGGTGTTTCTGTGGTGTCTTGGCAGTGGTCCGGTGGTGTTGTGGCGGTATCAAAGAAATTTTTTGGCCGGTTTTGCACACGGGCGCCTTTACATACAGATGCACGCAGAAAAAAATACACATATATACACGCCTTTACACGCAGAAACTCCCAACACAAATTGGCCACAAAACATCGCATTTTGACGTCGGTTTTGGACGATGGACACGCGTTTCATCCGGGAACGGTTCTTTCGACACAAGTTCAGCAGAAACAAATTGCCATTTCACTTCAATCTTTCGTGATCAACAAGCGTTTCGTGCGGGGACCATTCACAGCGCACCGGCCGAATTGCAATTTCACCCCAGTTTTTTTCGCGATCAACACGTGTTTCTTGCGAGAAAAGTTCATTGCGCACCGGCCGCATCGCATTTTGACCTCAGTTTTTGCTGATCCACGCGTGTTTCGTACGGGAAGGGCGCGCCTACTGAATTGCAATCTTATACTTCAGTGTTTGACGATTGACAGGCGTTTCGCGCGAGAGGGATGTGTTTCGCCAGGATCGACTCGCATTGCGGTGCCGCCTAGGAATGGAACACTTTAAAACTGCGGATACATAGGTGCACTCTAGGAAATACCTTTGCACACCTGCGTCTATAATATATGTTATACACAGTTGTAGATTCCCATCCGTATCGTCTATACAACTGCAAATATGCGGTTGTAGATGCATACTTGCGTACACCTGCATCTGTACACCTGCAGATATACAGTTGTCGATGAACATGTGTCTTCTCCTATATAAATCTATACACCTGGGTCTTTACTTCGAAGGTGGTGATCATGTTGTTGTTGATAATGATGATGAAGATGATGATGAAGAAGGGAAACATGAAAGTGATGATTGGCAGTCGCACTTCGGAAGGAACACTTCGAAGGAGTTTTACGAAATTTTAGGTACAATGGTGATAATATGATAATATGGGATATCATTGGGAATATACTTGAGATAACAGCAGTAACAATGTTAGTTTTACATGGTTTAACTTGGTTGAATAGGGTTGATAGTGGGATAATGATTGGGATAACAACAGGAAAATACCGTCCGGTGTCATCAGCTCCATGGCTAGCCATGGGCATCTATACATTGGAAAACCATCGAGCTATGCGATTCCATGGCAATGCTTATCAGAGTGTATACAGTGACTGCAATGTGGGAAACCCAACAATAGACCATACCTCACTTACACTAACATTTGGGGCATTCGCAAACCATAACCCGGAAAAGAGGGTCCATTTAGTCCATTATTGAGTTTACCACAAGAATTATTGTGATTTCTATGAAACTGCGTCCGACGTGTTTCAACGCAATGCCCCCAGGACCTTCAAACTTTGGCCCCGGAAGCGCATCAGTTGGTTCGGGACATGGTCATGGACTTGGAAACAGTGAATGATATGCTTCGAGATCAGAAAAAAACAGGTTCAATCCGGGCTGTGGAGGATGTGTCTCTACTGGTGCGGGACGCAGGAATCTTGGATGTGGGGAACCATGGGAATAAACTTCAGTAATCTGGGTGAACCGCTGAGCCCGGACATCCGTAGTGTAAGACCTGACCCAACAATTGTTTTTTTCCCGAGAGCGCCTGAGCGTAGGGTTCTGCTAAAAAAGAAGCTGAGAATCTTCACATCTCACATCTGCTGATCTTACATCTTCACATCTTATGTCAGCTGATCTTACATCTTCAGATCTTTTGCTGATCTTTTGCTGATCTTTTGCTGACCTTGCGCTCCCTCTCTGTCTCTCTGTCTCTCTGTCTCTCTGTCTCTCTGTCTCTCTGTCTCTCTGTCTCTCTGTCTCTCTGTCTCTCTGTCTCTCTGTCTCTCTGTCTCTCTGTCTCTCTGTCTCTCTCTCTCTCTCTCTTCCTTCTCTCTCTTCTCTCTTAAGGCAGGGCGGTGCAGGAGCGATCACAAAAATGCGACAGTTACGCACGAAATGAGGTCCGATCGTCAAAAGCTGGAGAAAAAAAGCGATTTTGAGTTGTACCGCGGCCGGTTCCCAAGCATAGTTTAATACGACATGCTGGTAGAAATTTGATGAAAATGTGTTATTATGCTGCGACCTGACCCGAAGCGGGTTCCCAAGCACAATACGACATTTTGATAGTAGAAATGTAATGAAAATGTGTGATTATATGTTATCATGCTGCGGCGGGCCAAGTCTCGAAGCGGGTTCCCGAGCATAATGCGACATTTGTTCGTGTAAATGCGTTTGTGTGTAAAAGTGTCTGTGTGTAAAAGCGCCTGTGCGTAAAAGCGTCTGTGGGTAAAAGCGTTTGTGTGTAATAGCGTCTGTGTGTAAAAGCGTCTGTGTGTAAAAGTGTGTGTGTGGATCATCTGAAAAGATGTAAAACTTCTAAGCGATGGTTTGGCTGTTTCGTTTCTACTGACTCGTTTTTTCAATCATGAACTGGATTTTCCAATTCAGCAGGGGGCCGCTGGGGAACATTGCAGTCAGCGGCCAACGAAGACGCTGCAATGTTCCTGTGAAAACGTACCTGCAATTTTCCAGTTTTTCGTCAATGGCAACCGGCTAAGCCAAGAACCGGCATGTCGTTTTTCCAACAGTTTTCAAACTACTGTACGGTTTTCGCAATCTGACTGAGCTGCATCAGAACAAGTAAATCCTTCGAGCAAGGACGTAGAAAGATTTCCTCGCACAGTTTTTCACTTCCAATCATCAAACCATTCCTGTCAGGTTTAACTGAAGTGTTTTTGCACGTGCGATGCATTCCACATCAGTAATTCGATAAGATGTTTCTGAGCAAGTGTGTCACTCATGCCGATATCCGTCAAGGTGGTATGAGCCCTTCGGGGAAAGCCTTTCTAGGCTAACAATTGACGGTAAAACGATGTCTGAATTTACACTTTTGAATTAGTAATTCGTTTAAGTAAAGTGAACAGCCGGCCTTTTTTCCTTGTCTCACCCGTCGATGTCGTTATGTTGAACCGCTGGCCGCTGTGCTTGGCCTCACCCTTTTCCTTTTCTCATTTGTCGATGTCGATGTGTTGAACAGCTGGCCGCTTTTCCTGGCCTCACCATTTTCATTGGACAGCCAATGCATAGTCTTAAGCTGCGACAACAACCTTCCTGTTGTTTCAAGAGACAGCCACTCCGCAGCCATTTGCACATGATCAGGTAACAGGACATGCTTTCAAGGTGTGGTATCTTTCTTTTTTTGGTTTCTCGGTGAGGTTGAAATTGTGCACCTAATTCAGGGGTTGAACACGTAAGCCGTCCAGAGGGTTGTGACTTGAATGCCGAGGGCCTTTGAGCCTTATCGCGAATCTTGCATGCAATGTGGATGCATCTTTTCATTAACTAGTTCCCCATGGGTCCCTTATTTCATGTGTTCCTGCGTTCTCCTCTCTCCAGGTAGGTTGGGTTCTGCGCGTGCTGAGGTAGGCGTAGGTTCGCTGTGGTAGGTTGGTTCAGGCGCGTCCGTCCTTCCCCCCCCCTCCGCTGGTCTTTTTCCGTTTCCGTCTGCCTCCGCTTTTCTTTTTCCTTGCCTTTTCAGGGTTTGCCCGTGGTGGGCCAGGTTTCCTTGTGTTGGTGTTTTCTCTTTCCCTCTGCGTTGCGTTCCCCTCTTCGCGTCCTGGTTAAGTAACTTTCATCTCATTTTCATCTTCACCTCATCTTCGTTTCCCTTCATTTTCATTTTCATTTCACTGTCCGGACCTTAATTTTTCACCCTCCTGCGGGAGGGTGTGTGTGTGTGGATCATCTGAAAAGATGTAAAACTTCTAAGCGATGGTTTGGCTGTTTCGTTTCTACTGACTCGTTTTTTCAATCATGAACTGGATTTTCCAATTCAGCAGGGGGCCGCTGGGGAACATTGCAGTCAGCGGCCAACGAAGACGCTGCAATGTTTCTGTGAAAACGTACCTGCAATTTTCCAGTTTTTCGTCAATGGCAACCGGCTAAGCCAAGAACCGGCATGTCGTTTTTCCGACAGTTTTCAAACTATTGTACGGTTTTCGCAATCTGACTGAGCTGCATCAGAACAAGTAAATCCTTCGAGCAAGGACGTAGAAAGATTTCCTCGCACAGTTTCTCACTTCCAATCATCAAACCATTCCTGTCAGATTTAACTGAAGTGTTTTTGCACGTGCGATGCATTCCACATCAGTAATTCGATAAGATGTTTCTGAGCAAGTGTGTGCGTAAATGCATATGTGTGTAAAATCGTCTGTGTGTAAAAGCCTCTGTGTGTAAAGGAGCCTGTGTGTAAAGGCATCTGTGTGTAAAAGCAACTCTGTGTAAAGGTGCTTGTGTGTAAGAGCGTCTGTGTGCAGACGCGCCTGTGACTAAAAGTGTCTGCGTGTAAAAGCATCTGTGTGTAAAATGTATGTGGGAAAACCGTCTGTGTGTAAAAGTGCGTGTGTGTGTATGTGAAATAATTTCAACTCGAGTGAATTTTCTGCAGGAAACGCAGCAGACTGTGTCCAACGAAGCTACCAGTGAAATGGGGATATTCAGCTTGACGTACCTGCAATCCGATTATTTCATTGTCGCTGACATGGCACAGGGCTAAGCCGAGAACCCCTGAACAGAGTGTGTACTGTTGTCGCAATCTGAGATTTTCTTCGGCATCATGTCAACCTATGTCTGCATAGCATTTGGACATATTACCACTCTGTGTTTTTGGAACCTTGCCATAGTCCTCGTCGAGATGTTTGGTGGCACAATGTGGCACATGGAATTTATAACCGGTTATTTCTTACTATAGGAACTTTGACTTTGTCTTCGTCAAGATGATCGATTTTATTTCCTGGGTATTCTATTTTATTCCTCGGAGGTCCACCTTGCCTCAAGAATCTTGTTGCATGGTTGGTGATAGGAATTAAGTTCCCATCGGATCACTTCAATGATCGAGTTCTTGTCTAGTGTGTGTGTGTGTGGACCATCTGAAAAGATGTAAAACTTCTAAACATCCTTTTTAAAGCAGGGGGGCACAGAAGGCCCATAGAGCTGTGCCCAACGAAGCTCTCTATGGTGTCCTTAGGATATCCAGGCTGATCACCTGGACGTACCTGCATTTGTTTTGAAACATTTTGACTGTCATGGGACGTGGCTAACCCAAGAACCACCTCGCCGTTTTTCAGTTGCAACAGGACCTTCCTCAGAACTTGGTTTTCAACGAGATTCAAACCATTGTACGGTTTTCGCAATCTGATTTACTGCTGACTTCGTCAGATGGAACAGTTGCTTTTTGCAAGGACAAAGAAAGAATTCATCTACATTGGTTTTCTTGCCCAGTCATCCAATTTCTCCTGTCAGACTTTAGGGGATTGTTTGTGCACGCCCGATGCACTCCACATCAGTAATTCGATAAGATATTTCTGAGCAAGTGTGTCACTCATACCGTTGTCCGACAAGGTGGTATGAGCCCTTCGGGGAAAGCCTTTCTAGGCTAACAATTGACGGTAACACGATGTCTGAATTTACATTTTTGAATTGGTAATTCGTTTAAGTATAGTGAACTGCTGGCCTTTTTCCTGGTTTCACCCGTCGGTCGAGTGAGTGTTGAAACTACTTGCCGCAGTACTGGGCTTCGCCTTTTTCATTTTCACCATGTTTTGCATAGCTGGAAGCCGCGACAACATCCGTTTTCCATTGATGCCCAAGAGAGTACGGAGCTCGACATTTCACATGACATGTTACCATGTGAAGGCTTCAGGACATGCTTCCCAGGTTTGGCCACTTTCTTTTTTGGTTTCTCGGTGAGGTTGAAATTGTGCACGTAATTCAGGGGTTGAATACTTAAGCCGTCTATAGGGTTGGAACTTGACAGCCGAGAGCCTTTGAGCCTTATCACGAATTTTGCATGCGTTGTGGATGCATCATGTCATTAACTAGTTCCCCATGGGTCCCTATTTCTTCCTTTTTCATGTGTTCTTGCGTTCTCCTCTCTCCAGGTAGGTTTGGCCCGTTGCGTGCTGAGGTTGTTGTAGGTTTTCGCCGTGTCAGGTTGGTTCAGGCGCTTCTGTCCTCCCCCTCCTCCGCTGGTCTTGTTCCGTTTTCCGTCGGCCTCCGCTTTTCTTTTCCCTTGCCTTTCCAGGGTTGCCCGTTCTGGGCTATAGGTTTCATGTGTTGGTGTTTGCTCTTTCCCTCTTCTTTTGCGTTCCCCTCTTTGCGTCCTGGTTAAGTAACTTTCATCTCGTTGTCATCTTCACCTCATTTTCATTTCCCTTCTTCTTCATTTTCATCTCATTGTCGGGACCTCAGTTGCCAAAACAGCCTCGCGGCAGCGAGGCGTGTGTGTGGACCATCTGAAAAGATGTAAAACTTCTAAACATCCTTTTTAAAGCAGGGGGGCACAGAAGGCCCATAGAGCTGTGCCCAACGAAGCTCTCTATGGTGTCCTTAGGATATCCAGGCTGATCACCTGGACGTACCTGCATTTGTTTTGAAACATTTTGACTGTCATGGGACGAGGCTAACCCAAGAACCACCTCGCCGTTTTTCAGTTGCAACAGGACCTTCCTCAGAACTTGGTTTTCAACGAGATTCAAACCATTGTACGGTTTTCGCAATCTGATTTACTGCTGACTTCGTCAGATGGAACAGTTGCTTTTTGCAAGGACAAAGAAAGAATTCATCTACATTGGTTTTCTTGCCCAGTCATCCAATTTCTCCTGTCAGACTTTAGGGGATTGTTTGTGCACGCCCGATGCACTCCACATCAGTAATTCGATAAGATATTTCTGAGCAAGTGTGTGTGTGAAACACTCAGTAGATGTAAAACTTGTACCTTGATGTCTTTTTAGTTGCAGGACGTAGCGGCAGATCACTTGGGACCGCTACCAACGAAGACGCCCATTTGATCTGGTGATACAGATTGGGACGCTAATCTGCGTACCGGCACCAATTTCCCAATTTCTCGTCGATGGCGACCGGCTAAGCCAAGAACCGGCATGTCGATTCTTTGTTTCATATCTTACACGATTGGATTTGGCAATATCGCTGGCTATGGCGATGGTAACTCCTCAACGGGCTTGTTTTTTTTTATATTTGCACAGTTGGCGCAATCTGAGACTGCCGTGAACGGATCGCTACCGATTTATAAAATGGACTTTCTTCGACCGTCGTGTTTGGCCATATCCCAGCTTTCATCCATTCTGATCAGGATAAAAGCGGTGTTTTTTGCACGACCGATGCATTCCACATAACAAGTCGGTAAGACAGTTCTGAGCAAAAGTGTGTGTGTGTGTGTCAGAAGGTGTCTGCGTGTAAAAGTGCTGTGTGAAAAGTGTCTGTGTGTAAAAGCATCTGTGTGTGAAAGCGTCTGTGTGCAAAAGCGTCTGTGTGTAAAAGCGTCTGTGTAAAAGCGTCCGTGTGTACAGGAGCCTGTGTGTAAAGGCATCTGCGTGTAAAAGCGTCTGTGTGTTAAAGCGTCTGTGTGTAAGAGCCTCTCTGTGTAAAAGCGTCTGTGTGTAAAAGGATCTGTGTGAAAAGGCTTCTGTGTGTAAATGCATCTGTGTGTAAAAGCGTTTGTGTGTTACAACGTCTGTGTGTAAAAGCGTATGTGTGTAAAAACGTCTGTGTGTAAAAGCGTCTGTGAGGCTTCTGTGTGTATTTGTTTTGTGTCGATTAAAGATCTCTGTGTGTAAAAGTGTCTGTGTGTAAAGCCTCTGTGCAAAAGCGTCTGTGTGTAGAGGCTTCTGTGTGACGTGTAAAGACCTGTCTTTGTAACTAGACGACGGATGGCCCGAGAGCGTAGAGGAGCGTAGTGAGAGGTGTAAGTATGAAGGCCTTATAGCATGAAACATAAATATAGAAATTCACGATGATGCCTAAACTGAAGAGACATGGTGCAGACATGTTGTGAAAAGTAGGTGCATGCGAAGAAATTGAAGGAGACATAATAGAAAGATGAAACGAAGGAGACACAGGAAGAAGAATTAAGACGGACATTTTTACATACGAGCATGCTCATGCCTCACACACAACTGTGCTTTTACACAAAGATTGTACCACATTTTACATACAGACGTTATACACACAAACACTTTTACACACAGAGACGCTTTTACACATAAAACCCTTTTGGACACAAAGGCTTTTTGACACACAGGCTCCTTTACACATAAACCGTTTTATACGCACCTTTACGCACAATCCCCTTTTACACACAAACACTTTTACACACAGACGCTTTTACACACAGACCCTTTCGCACACAAACACTTTTACACACAAGCACTCTCACACACAGACGCTTTTGCACACAGACCCTTTGACACACACACACACAAACCCCCCTTCACACACACAAACACGTTTACACACAAACCATGTCGCAAACAATTACATACAATCCCTTCTACACACAAACGCTTTTACACACCAACGCTTCTGCACACAAACCCTTTGCACAGAGACGCTTTACACACAAACGCTTTGACACACAAACGCTTTGACACACAAGCGCTTTTACACAAAAACGCTTTTACACACAAACGGTTCTATACACACAAACACTTTTACACACAAACGCTTCTACACACAAGGCGGAAGCGTTACGACCGGACCAACCAAAGTCGCAAAAAACAATCAGTTTTTGACACTCGAACCTCATTTCGTACGAAAGGGTTGCTACCGAAGTTGTAAAATCGCAAAAAAAACCATCCGCTTTTGACACTACGTTCAAGTGTCAAAAGCTGATGTGTTTTTTGCGATTTTACAACTTCGGTAGCAACCCTTTCGCGCGAAATGAAGTTCGAGTGTCAAAAACTAATGTTTTTTTGCGATTTTGCATCCTCCGCGGCAACCTTTTCGCACGAAACGAGGTTCGAGTGTCAAAAACTGATATTTTTTGCGATTTTACATCCTCCACGGCAACCCTTTCGCACGAAACGAGGTTCGAGCGTCAAAAGTCAAAAAGTGACGGTGTTTTGCGAGTTTGGTTGATCTGGCGGCAACCCTTTCGTACGAAATGAGGTTCGGTTGTTAAAAAACTGATAGTTTTTTGCGATGTTACATCTTCGGCGTTCGCACGTAATAAGGGTTGCCACCGCAGAGGTAAAATCGAAAAAACACATCAGTTTTTGACACTCAAACTTCAAGGGTTGCCGCCGAAGTTGTAAAGTCGCAAAAACACCTCAGCTTTTAAGCGCTCGAACCTCATTTCCTGCGAAAGGGTTGCCGCCGAGGATGTCAAATTGCAAAACATCCCTAGTTTTGACACCCGAACTTCATTTCGTGCGAACGGGTGGCCATATTGTGGCGCCTCGTTGGCACTGCCTGCTGCCTTAAGAGAGAAAAGAGAGAGAGAGAGATAGAGAGAGAGAGAGAGAGAGAGAGAGAGAGAAGAGAGAGAGAGAGAGAGAGAGAGAGAGGGGAGAGAGAGAGAGAGACAGAGTGAGAAGATGTGAGGATGTGAAGATGAGAAGATGTGAAGATGAGAAGATGTGAAGATGTAAGTATGTGAAGGTAAGAAGATGTGAAGATGTGAAGGTGAAGAGCGAGAGAGAAAGAGAGAGAGAGAAGATGTGTGAAGGGTGCAGATGTGAGGATGTGAAGATCAAAAGATGTGAAGATGTGAGTGTGTGTGAAGGTAAGAAGATGTGAAGGTGTGAGTTTGTGAATATGTGAGTATGTGAACATGTGAGGATGTGAAGGCTTGAGCATGTGAAGATGTATAGCATGCCTCCACTTTTAGAAGAACCCTTCGCTCAGACTTTCTCGGACAAAGTTAAACCGTCTGTGTACAAAAGGTTTGGGTGTTTTTTTTCCCGATTTTGTCACCTTCCATTGTCCTTTTCAAATTCCTTTTAAACAAACTTCAAAATCATATTTTTTTCTGCTTTGGCGCCGACGCCCGGTTTTGGAGCAGGTTTTGGATGTTTTTTTCCGTTTTTGGCGCTTTCCATTTTCCTTTCCAAATTTCTTTTCAAAAAACATCAAAATCACACTTTTTTTCCGGCTTTGGCACCGAAAATAAATCTGGTTTTGTAGCAGGTTTTGATGATTTTTCCCGTTTTTGGCACTTTCCATTTTCCTTTTAAAATTCCTTTTATACAGTTTCAGAATCGTACTTTTTTTCGGCTTTGGCGCCGAATTTTAAGTTTTGGAGCAAATTTTGGACCAGAAAGGTTCTAGCGACAAAAATTGTGGTAAAACAACGATTTTTGTGGCCCCGCGGCGACATACTATGAGGTTTTGTTGTGTGTTTTGTTGTGTGTTCTTGGATTTTCGTTCCCTCTCTGTGCAAACTTTGTTGTGTCAAAGCATCTGTGCGTCAAATTGTGGCTAAAAGCGGCAATGTGTTAAAAACGTCTGTGTGTAAAAGCGTCTGTGTGCAAAGGCTTGTGTGTGTGTGTGTAAAAGCCTCTGTGTGTAAAAGTGTTTGTATGTAAAGGCGTCTGTGTAAAAAACCTCCGTGTGGAAAAACAATTTCTTTGCATATTTGTAGTGTAATGTGCAAAAAAGGTTGAACCCCGCAGGTGGTATGATGATGAGGTGGAGGACGTTTTCACAGCAAATTTTCTACACAAAAAGGTTGAACCGCGAAGGTGTTTTTAAGATGAGGTAGGTGGCGTTCTGTGTGTAACGGCGTTTGTGTGTAAATGCGTCTATGTGTATAGCGTTTGTGTGTAAAACGTCTCTGTGTAAAGAAAGGTGTGTGTGTGTGTGTAAAAACGTCTTTGTGTGAAAGCGTCTGTGTGTAAATGCGTCTGTGTGTAAAAAATCTCCATGTAAAGAAAACCGTGTGCGTGTAAAAGTGTCTGTGTAAAAACATCTGTTTGCAAAAGTTTCTGTGTGTAAAAGGTGTCTGTGTGTAGAAGGTGTCTGTGTGTAAAAGCGTCTGTGTTACATCTTCACATCTTGCATCTTCTCCATCTTTTCTTTCCTTCCCTCACCCTCTTCCTACCACCCTTTCTCCTTCGTACAGCATCGCCCTTGCAATTTTTTATCTTCTTGCTGTCGTTCTGTCTCAGTACAAATGTTTCAATGCCTCTCTTCAGCTTTCATCTTAAAGTTTTGACACCTTGCCTCATACTTACACCGCATACTTCTTACATACTTACGACATTGTGTTTTTCCTTACGCCTGAGTAACTTGCTCATCCGTCGTCTAGTTCAACACTGGGGTAGCCCTTAAAACACCACGGGGTTTCCCCACTTGCAGAACTTTGGGGTCCGTGGAGGTGACAGCAGTCGGGCTGTGGCATGTCGCTGGCTTCAAGGGCACGAGGATGTGTGGAAACCTTGGCTGCCCGATCCCACCAAGTGCTTTAGCGGCTTTGGTCTCTATCATCCACCCAGCAACAGCTTCGTGTCGCTGGGCTTGTGGCCGAAATTTGGGGAGAAGCAAGTTGGCATAAAAACCATGCTGGGCCAAGCCTTTCTGAATAGGGGATATTCAACAACCCACTGAAGAGATATTTCATTTTTATATAGCTATGGCAGCTATGGCAAGGATGACGAGAGGCCCCAAGCCAAGGTGAAGACATATAACAAGTGACATCAAGTGACCATGGCATGCCACAGCTCCGCCAGGAAGGACCGGCGAAATCCCGTCAGTTTGGCTTGCAGTCCTTGCCCATCAGGCCAGGCGGACCACAGTACAACGACCCAAGGGACCCCAGACATACACCAAACATGGGAAAATTATCGAAAAAAATATATAAATCATTTACCACGATTTTGGGAGGCATTTACTTTTCGATTTTCTTGGAGGGTACTGTAGGTAAAATGGTACAGTTTGCCTTGCATCCTGCTCTCTAGTGCCGCGCCAATCCTTACTGGTCCGCGCTGTTCGATTCTTTTTTTTGGTATTGTTGTTCTCGATGTTTTTTTCGAATGCGTAGCAAGGGTTCCTGTTTCAAGGGTTCCCGTTTCACTGGGGGTTTGGGGGTTGAGGCTGTGTGCGCCACACGCTGCGCAACCGTTCGCAACCGTTCGCAATCGTCCGCAACCGTCCGCGTGAGGGCTGTATGGCCGTGCCTACAGGATGGGGCCCCCCAGTTATAAGTTGGTTTATAAACCATTATAATCCCCATTAACTATAGTTATATCTACCATAAACCATTGTTACGCCACTTATAAACCAACTTAGCTATTTTGGGGGCCCCATCCTGTATGGCGAGTTCTGCAAAAGTTCTCACTTTTGGAGGTTTCAAACCTTGCATAGCCTCGTTTCGCGTGCCAGGCGTGGCACTTCGTGACATTCCAACATGTTTCATAACGTGTCGAAAGTCTTTTTGTGTGGCATGCGTGGCAGGCGCAGTCTTTTTGCGTCAGTTTCAGAGGATGATTTTCATTTTTCGGTGCAGCACTTTGGACGTGTCCATGTTCATGTTGCGTGGCACGCGCAGAACTTTAGGCGTGTCGTGTTGCGTGTTTTTGCGAATTGCATTGTCAGGGCTGCGTCAAGTGGTGACAACGTGCAAACGCGTGGCAGGCGTGGGACATCGCGAGAGTGTCATTTTGCGTGGCAGGGGCAATATTTGGTGCAGATCCATTGTGTGTGGAATATCATTTTGCATGGCAGGCGCAGTTTTTCGGACACTTTACACTTTACACTCCTCAGTCTGCACCGACACACCACACTCTACACTTTACACTCCACACTTCACATTGTATACTTTACATTCTACGCTGTACACTTCACACTTTACACTCAACACTTTACACCCCACACTCTACACTCCGCACTTTACACTGTACACTCCACAACTTACAATCTACACTTTACATTCTACACTTTACACTCCACACTCCAGAGTTTACACTTTACATTCTAAACTTTATACCTTACACTCCACACTTCACATTTTACACTCCACACTTTACACTTTACACTCCACACTCCACAATCCCCACTTCACACTCTACACACAACATTCCCCACTCAACATTCCACTTTCTTCACGCTCCACACTTTGCACTTCACTCCCTTCCACATTCCACAGTGTCTACAGTGCACTAGTACGGCAACATGGGAATCGTGCGCAAAACTGTTCAAATAACTTGTTTCACAATAGTGTTTTACGTGACTGCGTTCAGGTTCGTGGGTTGCATCTTGTTTTTATGGAAATGTTGGCGCATTTGGAGGAAATTATATTTCTGGATTTCCTTTGAATACCTTGACGCGGTTGAACCCGCCGAACAGAACGTGCCTTATGCTAGCTGCTAAGTTTTGTGCTGGCATTATTTGTGTGATGATTTAGTGGAATCGGGAGCAAGGTTTCCGTTTTTCAACGCGGACAATGTCCCTGCAGGCACATTCTCCTCCAAATTGGTTGACGGCGCAGGGATTACCTTTGTATGCGAGCCCTGCCCAGCAGGCTCTATACAAGCTTCAGGCGCGTCGGTTGAGTGCATACCTTGCAAGGCAGGAGAGTACCAAGATGAGAACGGCAGCATTTTGTGCAAACGCTGTGGAATGGGCGAATACCAAGATCAGACAGGTTTCTTGTCTTTGAAAAATCATTGGCTGAAAAGAACGGTAGAACAGGGGTGTAAATTCCCGTTGTTTTCACCGACCATCGGTGGTGCATGGTCAATATCTGTAGTTTGGCCAATACCACCAACGAGATGTAGGGATTGCCTTCACAGACTTGCTGTCACAGCTTTTGTATGATATGCGCACAGCTTTTGTATGCGTTGTCTTGATATGTCTTGTTGATTGTTTTCTTGGCATTTTTTAAATCCCATTTTTGTTTATTGTTTGATTCACATCCTAGCACTTTCTTGCTATGTGATTTGATCAGAAATTGCCGTCAACTACGTGCTGTCCGAATCTACCAATTTCCCTAAATTTGCAAGCTTTGTTGTTGCGTAGGCTGCGGGTTTTGGATGGATTTCGTTGCCATGTTATCCAAGGACCCTTTCGTCCAGCGCTGCTAGTTATGGTCTTAGGATTTAGAACCATCAGAAATTTGATGTGTGATGGCAGCAGGCACAGTCACATCAACCACGAACTCCGCATCCCCAGCAAATCCAAACAAAGCAGGTTAATGTCCACCTCTGATTTATAAGTAGGCCCCCCCCCTCCTCTTTTCCCCTAAATAGACTTAAAGCCACCATAAAACTTGTTTGTATGTAAAGGTTTTCAATTACCACAATTTAAAACGAATACATAAAATGCAATTTCAAAAAAAATGGAATCCAACAATTGTTTTAGTATTGATTTAGGTATTGATCTAGTATCATGTCATGGATTTAGTATTGATTTAGTATTCATGTCATGGATTTAGTATTGATTTAGTATTCATGTCATGGATTTAGTATTGATTTAGTATTCATGTCATGGATTTAGTATTCATGTCGTGGATTTAGTATTGATTTAGTATTGGTTTAGTATTCATTTCTTGATCAGCGGGAGGGGGAAACTCAGTAGCTTTATTCAGGGTCAAACTCTAATTGGTGCTAAGGCACCTCATGGGGGGTACCCTTGATAAGTGGATTTGGAGTTGATTTTGGATAATTTTGAATAAAGGTTTTGAATAGAAAGAGCATCCATCATTTTTGAAAATTTCCAGCTATCATTTTTGAATAAAGGTTTTGGTCAGCCCCATCTGGGCAAATCTGGGTTTAGGGCCAAAAAAAATGCTTTATTTAGGGGTCATTTAATAAATGTTTTGGGGCTCTGGTTAGCTTTATTTAGGGGGGGTTTAAAAATCGTAGGTCAACATTAAGCAGGTTTGGATGCCAAAATTGGGCATGGGTCAAAGTTATGTCCAAAACGGATGATTACATACAAAACATATCTAAACCTGACCAGGATCTTTTGCCGTGGCTCCATTGGTACACCCACCATGATTCAGGTGCAACGGGATGCAAGCCGTGTCCAACTGCGACGTCCACACATGGACTTGGATCATTATTTCTGGGAGATTGTGGATGCAAGCAAGGTCAGAACGGTGGTGAAACATGTGTCATCAAGTTTTCATACGGGAGTCGTCCTAAAACCCATGCAAGGCTTTTAGTATCCGAGTGACATCTGCAGATATGGATGTGTATTTTGGACAACCCCCATATCCAGATAATGTTGGATCCTGATTAGTGTAGGGGGGACCCCCCCCTCCCTAAACAAATTTTGGGCACTCTTTAATGTGGAAATTTTCATGATTTCGATACTGAACAGTGTGTGGTCAAAAAAATGATAGATTTCAATTGATTTAAATTGATTTTCAATTGATTTCAATTTACTTTCAATAGATTTCAATTTACTTTCAATTGATTTTCAATTGATTTCAATTTACTTTCAAATGATTTCAATTTACTTTCAATTGATTTCAATTTACTTTCAATTGATTTCAATTTACTTTCAATTGGTTTCAATTTACTTTCAATTGATTTCAATTTACTTTCAATTGATTTCAATTTACCTTCAATTGATCGCAATTTACTTTCAATTGGTTTCAATTTACTTTAAATTTACTTTCAATTGATTTCAATTTACTTTCAATTGATTTTAATATGCTTTCAATTGATTTCAACTTACTTTCAATTGATTTTCAATTGGTTTCAAGTTACGTTCAATTGATTTTCAACTGATGCCAACTTACTTTCAAATTATTTTCAATTGATTTCAATTTAGTTTGAATTTATTTTCAATTGATTTCAACTTACTTTCAATTGACATCCCATAGTAATCCCATAGACATATCATAGAAATATCATGGAAATCCTATGGGAACCCCACAGAAATCCGATAGAAAGATCATAGATATAACATAGAAATAGCATAGGAAGGAACAACGTTTCGGTCCTTTGTGGGCGCGCGCCGACCTGCTAACCTTTTATTCATATCTTCAGCCACGCGTTGTCATCTGACACTTTCCCAATTTTTTTGGGATCGAATCCAACCTGAGACATTCTGGCTTGCCGGTAGAAAGCCATGGCCTGCAACAGTGTTTCTAATCCGGGACTATCCAAATTTTTTTGCATTGCCAAAGGAATTATGTGTGACTGGGATGGCATCATGCGACCTACTTTGTTGACACGTCTCAAAGATCGCTTGACACGTGAAAATTCTGCTTCACTGTAATTATCTCCTCCCACGATTTTGGCAATTCTTCTCTTTGGGCTCTCATCACGCAAGCTGGCTTCTTCATGGATGCACTCCGAGTTAACATTTTTTGTTGTTTTTTCGACAACTTGCTCATGCGAAAAGACATAGTCGGTGAGAGTTCATCCTCAGTGAAGCTAACACATATCCTATATGGTCGAAGTGGTACATTTCAATCTTCTGGGTTTATATATTTTTTTAAATGTGGTAAAACAACAAGTCTTTGTTCCAATCTGAAGTCAAGCATCGATGCTGTGACGGGCAGTGGCTGCAGGCATGTGAATGTTTGCAAAGGCGCCCACCACTGCTTCCCCAGCATCCGTGCCAGCAACCACAGAAGGGCCAGCTACGTGCTTTGACACCACTCGGCTGAACTCAGTGAGAGAGAATTTCTTATATCGTAACATCACGCGTGTGTCTAAATGCAAGAGAAGATCTTACTACGTAACATCACGCATGTGTGCAAGTGCAAGAGAAGATCTTATTACGTAACATCACGCGTGTGTGTAAATGCAAGAGAAGATCTTACTACGTAACATCACGCGTGTGTGCAAGTGCAAGAGAAGATCTTGTTACGTAACATCACGCGTGTGTGGAAATGCAAGAGAAGATCTTACTACGTAACATCACGCGTGTGTGCAAGTGCAAGAGAAGATCTTACTACGTAACATCACGCATGTGTGCAAGTGCAAGAGAAGATCTTATTACGTAACATCACGCGAGTGTGTAAATGCAAGAGAAGATCTTACTACGTAACATCACGCGTGTGTGTGCAAGTGCAAGAGAAGATCTTACTACGTAACATCACGCATGTGTGCAAGTGCAAGAGAAGATCTTACTACGTAACATCACGCGTGTGTGGAAATGCAAGAGAAGATCTTACTACGTAACATCACGCGTGTGTGCAAGTGCAAGAGAAGATCTTACTACGTAACATCACGCGTGTGTGCAAGTGCAAGAGAAGATCTTACTGCGTAACATCACGCGTGTGTGTAAATGCAAGAGAAGATCTTACTACGTAACATCACGCGTGTGTGCAAGTGCAAGAGAAGATCTTACTACATAACATCACGCGTGTGTGAGTGTGCCCCCCCCCACCCCTCCCCCACCCCCCTGTTCCCCACCCCAAAAATAATAACATGTCATGCGGGCACAACTTCTAACTAACGGGCACAACTTCTAACTGACGGGCACAACTGCTAACTGACGGGCACAACTGCTAACTGACGGGCACAACTTCGAACTGACGGGCACAACTGCTAACTGACGGGCACAACTTCTAACTGACGGGCACAACTTCTAACTGACGGGCACAACTTCTAACTGACGGGCACAACTGCTAACTGACGGGCACAACTTCTAACTGACGGGCACAACTTCTAACTGACGGGCACAACTTCTAACTGACGGGCACAACTGCTAACTGACGGGCACAACTTCTAACTGACGGGCACAACTTCTAACGGACGGGCACAGCTTCAACGTACCATCACGAAACACTGCCTACAGTGAGCGAAATGAACATAAACATGCCCTGACAAGCAGTTTTACGCTGTCCCCCATGCGCGCCGACAGCGGTCCGGAAGGAACAACAAAGAAACCGTAACCCCGTAAGAATTCCCATAGTAATCCCATAGAAATATCATAGAAACATCATGGAAATACCTTGGAAATCCCACAAGAATCCAATAGAAATCCCACAGGAATCCAATAGAAACCCCATAGAAATATCATAGAACCATCATAGAAATACCATAGAAATCCCATAGGAATCCAATGGATAAGAATACCATAGAATTCCCAATGCACCCCTTTAGAAATCCCAGAGCAATCCTCCAGAAATATCATAGAAACATCATGGAATTCCCATAGAATTCCCAAAATCCAATAGTAATACTATAGAAATACCATAAAACAAAAAGCTTTAGCAAAGGAACAGGTAAAGGGAATGTTTGAAAAAAATCGCCCCAGGAAGCAGCTGAACACAATAGTGGACCCCCAAAACAAACAGACTACTGTGGATCAGGGTTGCTCATGGACTACCCCCTTGAAAAATTGTTTTGGTGCTGTTTCTTTTAAATTGGGTTTTAGTAAGGCATCATATATTTTGGGAAAATGGGCATTTCTGAGAATTCCAAGTGAAAGAAACTAAGAAAGTAAAAGAAAAAAAAATCGCAAAGGAAAAGGTAAAGGGACTGTTTGAAAAAACAATCACCTCAGGAAGCAGCCGGACACAATAGTGGACCCCCCAAACAAACATACTATTGTGGATCAGGGTTGCTCATGGACTATCCCCTGGAAAAATTGTTTGAGTGATGTTTTGTAATTGGGTTTTAATAAGGCATCATATATTTCGGGAAATTGGGCATTTCTGAGAATTTCACTTGAAATAAATTAAGAAAGTAAAAGAAAAAACTTTAGCAAAGGAAAGGTAAAGGGAATGTTTGAAAAAAAAACACTTCAGGAAGCAGCTGGACACAATAGTGGACCCCCAAAACAAACATACTATTGTGGATCAGATTGTAATCTCAAGTGAACAAAAATCAATTGATCAAGTGAAAAAAACTAAGAAAGTAAAAAAACACTTTAGCAAAGGAAAAGGTAAAAGGAAAATCTGAAAAAATACACCTCAGACAACAGCTGGACAAAATAGTGGACCCCCCCCGCACAACAAGCACATTATTTAGGGTCAATATTTGCTAATGAAAAAAAATAAAAAACATTTTCAAAACAACAAAAAATAATGGATAAATAACAATAAAAACTTAAGTTTTTTAAAATTGAAACAAATTAAACAAACACATAATTTAAAACAATTTAAACATAAAAAAACTGAAAAACTTAAACTTACCCCAAAATCCGCGGGACACAATAGTGAACCACCCCGTTATTTCCACAGATTCAGAATTATTTTTGAGTTGGACACAATAGTGTACCACCACACTAATCAGCATCGTAACATTATTCATATTGAGTGATGAAGATGGTTTTGGCTATCAGCTGTTGAAATGATCTATTTCGATGAAACCGGGGGGAATGTATATATATTATATATATAGCAAATTTAGGCCCCAAGTTGCGGCAAGTCTATCATAGGGATACTTCTTGGATAATGATGATTAATCGATGGATGGAGTGGAGCAACCGATGAAAAAAACAAACCCATATGTATGATCATCTATCATCATCTATGGTTATTTTGAAAATAAATGTATTTTAAACATCTCTGCCTGCTGTTGATGAACACCATTTGAAAACATATCTTAGGAAATAGTTGTCACAGATTTGATACTCAAATTTGATGACTCCAACCAGCACAGCACTTCGCTTCACCAGGCAGCATCAATGTGGCGAATGCAACGGTGGGCGTGGTGACGTGCGTTGCATGTCCTGAGGGACTACGATGTCCCTTGGGTTCCAGCCTGGAGTCTTTGAAGATGGGCGACCAAAAATTTGGAGAGGCCTTCACGCCCAGGATTCTGGAGGGATATTTCAGCACCGAGGACCCGTGTTTTGAATGGACTTTCAGCTTGAAAAAATAAGAGTTTGTTTGATGTTGAGCGTGCGTATTTCTGTGGAGTTTGGAATGACAAATGGTTTGACGTTTCGAGGGACGCTTTGTTGCGAAGCCAGGCGTTCCTGCAAATGCATATTGGGGGATGATCATAAGAAGAGCTGAAAGTTACCCTCTGGTAAACTAACATAACTATAGAAAATCACCATTTTGAATAGGTAAATCAAGGAACTAAACGGGGTATTTTCAATAGCTATTTCAAATTTCCAGAGGGTATCAGCAGAATCAACCCGTGGAGGAGCAGCCCCTTGAAGTCTTCAAATGCCAGACTTTGGAGCACTGTCCTGGTGGAGTTCCTGGGAGGTGTCCTGGACGTCGTGAAGGGATTCCGTGCTCGGAGTGCCCTTCGGCGACGTCATGGACCGGCAAGGAGTGCCGGCAGTGCTCGGGTGGCCTTGTGGTGGTTCCGCTTCTTGGCACATCAAAGACCCGAACCTAGGAACCTGGGGAGAATTGTGTACAGGTTGTACAGGAAGAGGACCCCCAAGTATCCACAAGTTCTGTTTGTTGGTTTCGAAATCCATTGAACTGCAGATACATTCATGAAATAGTTACATCTTGGAGGAATCAGTTTATTTTTGAGCTTAATCTACCCGGGAGAGTTGGGCCGAGGCTTTTGCACAGAGTAGCATTTATGCACAGGCGCCTTACTTACAGATGCTTTTACACACAGACACTTTTACACAGAGAGGCTTTTGCGCAGACAATTTTTTTCATATAGATGCCTTTGCACACAGACACTGTTTAGTACAGACAGAAGCTTTTACGCATGCACAGAAAACCACTGTGTACACAGCATATCGAAAACGCTCGGAGTTTTTACACAAGAGATTCTTTTGCACAGAGACCTTTTTACACACAGCTACTTTTGCACCCAGATGCCTTTACACAGAGAAACCCGTTACACCTACACAGACAAGCTTTTGCACACAGATGTTTTTACACAAAGAGGATTTTGCATAGAGAAACTTTTGCCAACAAGCGTCTTTACGCACAGAATTTCTTTACACAGATGAGCAGATAAACCGGTTTTGCAACGAAGCTGCAATAAGAATGTGCAACTTTAGGACATTGTTTTATCAGGGTCAGATTCAGGCAAAATAGGAGGGACAATTCTCAGGGAAAAATCTATCAAAGCACGTTCCACGAGGAAATGTGCACATCATTTTGAATTTCCTCCATCGGGTTTCCACGGAATTTGTTCCCAGCCAAAACGAAACCACGACTGCGTTGCTGGTGTTTCTGACCCACAAATAATCCGAAGAATGCCATTCCATTGCCGTCAGCATTACCACAATCATTACCATCATCGGTACCATCGTCATTACCATTATCATTACCATCATCATTACCGCCATCATTACCACCATCATTACCACCATCATTACCATCATCATTACCATCATCACTACCATCACCATTACCAACATCATTACCATCATCACTACCATCATTGTTACGGTCATCACTACCATCATCATTACCATCATCATTACCGTCATCATTACCATCATCATCACCACCATCATCATCATCACCATCACCATCATCATCCATCATTCATCATCATCATCATCATCATTCATCATCATCATTCATCATCAATCATCATCATCATCATCATCATCATTCATCATTCATCATCATCATCATCATTCATCATCATCATCATTCATCATCATCATCATCATTCATCATTCATCATTCATCATTCATCATCATCATCATCATCATTCATCATCATCATCATCATCACCATCACCATCATCATCCATCATTCATCATCATCATTATCATTCATCATCATCATTCATCATCAATCATCATCATCATCATCACCATCATCATCATCATTCATCATCATCATCCATCATCAATCATCATCATCATCATCATCATCATCCATATCATCATCATCACCATCATCATCATCATTCATCATCATCATCATTCACCATCATCATTCATCATCATTCATCTTCATCGTCATCATCATCATCGTCCATCATCATCCATCATCATCCATCATCATCCATCATCATCCACCATCATCCATCATCATTCATCATCATCCATCATCATCCATCATCATCCATCATCATCCATCATCATCCATCATCCATCATCCATCATCATCCATCATCCATCCATCATCATCCATCATCATCCATCATCATCCATCATCATCCATCATCATCACATCATCATCCATCATCATCCATCATCATCCATCATCATCCATCACCATCCATCATCATCCATCATCATCCATCATCCATCATCATCCATCATCCATCATCATCATCATCCATCATCGTCATCGTCATCGTCATCATCATCGTCATCATCATCGTCATCATCATCATCATCAGCAGCAGCATCACCATCATCATCATCATCGTCATCATCGTCATCATCATCCATCATCATCCATCATCATCATCCATCATCATCCATCATCCATCATCCATCATCATCCATCACCATCATCATCATCATCATCATCATCATCATCATCATCATCATCCACATCATCATCCCATCCATCATCATCCATCATCACATCATCATCCATCATCATCCATCATCATCATCCATCATCATCCATCATCATCCATCATCATCCATCATCATCCATCATCATCCATCATCATCCATCATCATCATCATCATCATCCATCATCATCCATCATCATCCATCATCATCATCATCATCATCATCATCCATCATCATCCATCATCATCATCCATCATCATCCATCATCATCATCCACCATCATCATCCATCATCATCATCCATCATCATCATCCATCATCATCCATCATCATCATCCATCATCATCCATCATCATCATCCATCATCATCCATCATCATCCATCATCATCATCACCATCACCATCATCATCATCATCATCATCATCCATCATCATCCATCATCATCCATCATCATCCATCATCATCCATCATCATCCATCATGCATCATGCATCATCCATCATCATCATCATCATCATCATCATATTATTCATGTTATCGTCGGTTGGTGTGACATGAGACCTGACCTCTTCACTTGGCCTCCTACCTTTCGTGTTCCCCTTCTCTTCTCAAGAGATTTATGTACCATGTTTCTTCAATCCAATCTGGCCACTCAAAATTCGACGCTGCATTGTGCAGTGTGCTGGTTCCCAAGTGTAGTGGCTGCAAGGCCATTACAGCAGCAAACTGTACTCATTTCAAACCCTTTGTTTGGATAAAGTTGCAGTTTTTTTTGTTCTTTCTGACCCTGGTCTCAAGGTGCTTGCTGGTTTGGGGTGTGCACCCACGCTATTGAAGGTTGATCTCCTCATAAGATTTCCCTTGATTCCAACGGTCTTTTAATGTGTCGCGCGGCGCTCAGCTACCAGAGAGGTGCTTGGGCGTTTTGCGCCAACGTCTTGATGGGTAGAGAACCATTTTAAACAGCTATTGAATTAAACCACCAAGCTTCACCTGTTTTGGTGCTTCAGGTGGGTTGCTGTTGGTTCCTTGCGAAACCGAGGATACTGGCTGGCGGCGTCTTCTTTCTCGGCTTGATTGCTGCTTACTATGCAATACCTCCACGCATCACAGCAAAGGCAACACAAGGGGAAACCCTATCAATGTGTGCTGGGGTCGCTACAGGATTGGTTCAATGCCTGGCCATCATCGGTCTGACGTCAGTTAGGTGGGGGCTGAACAGACGCACACGACCACAACTTATGGATAGCTGGCATTTTGGGTAGCGATGTGCATCCCTGGAATCGTAAACGGTCAATAGTTCATATACCGTCAACCCTAGTAGAGCCATTTTATTAAAATACTTTATTTATAATTCATTCATTCATTCATTCATTTATTTATTTATTTATTTATTTATTTACTTATTTATTTATTTATTTATTCATATTTCACCTCTTACTAATTTATCTAATTTATATGTGTTTATATGTTTGTGGCATATTACACACAAAGCAGGATTTTACGATGGTTCTGACGACTTGTGATTCTTGGGTTCCCTTTGGTTCCACGATCCATCTCCAGGTGGCCTAAGGCCTTCGAATCCATTGCTACAAGTTCTTCTGTGGTCTTGTTGGACGTGGAGATGTTTTCGATTGCATGCATGGTGGGTGGGACAAATTGGGGACGCTACATCATGAGCCTGGCAGTATTTCCTCTGGGGCCTCTGTGGCTGCTGGTTTGCTTCACATCTTCCAGGCGCTTGAACAAAAAAAACACAAGTTGGTTGATTTTTTTCCACCCGACAGGTGAAGGTCTTTAGATTTTACCAAATACATCGCGCCTCCGTTTTTTCCTTTTCGATGGTGAGCAGGACTTGGTTTCTGACCTGCCCCCTCTCCCCCTCGCCCCCCCTCGCCCCCCCTCTCGCCCTCCTCTTGGTGACCCATACCTCACATCCCTTGCCACCAAATCTTCCATCCCACATGAGCTGTGCGTCCCATCAGTTGCCTTCCCAACCCAAAGGGCCGTATCCCCCCTGCAATCTTCTTCGTAC